TATATATATATATATATATATATACACGTACATATATACACGTACATACATACACGTACATACATACATACATACATACATACATACATACATACACACACATATATATATAACAGTTTGCGCAGCGCTTTACAATATAGGGCAGACATTACAATCACAATACAATTCAAGACAAGATGGTAAGGAGGGTCCTGCCCCTGAGGGCTTACAATCTAAAAGGGAGGGGCCAGTGATACATGAGGAGGGAGCAATTGAATTGAAGGTAATACAACTAGTTTGGGCACATTGATGGGTTTGCATGGTTAGGTATTGTCACCGTGTACCTCCTATTAGTTTTTTCTGCCATATTCCCTTTAAAAGGGCTCATGTCTGCTCTTCCAGCAGGTTGTAAGAAAGATTGTGTAACCTTTTCTGTATTCTGTTCTCTTTCACAGCTCACCCCCGACTACGGTGACTCCCACTCAGATTTCCGCAGTGAGCCGGCCCTATACTTCTAGAGATTGAGGACGTTTCTAGTATCGTCACTGCCCTCCTCCAGCTTCTACTCAGGATCCTCCTCATACAGAGACTGAGGCCTGGCCATCTTTGTGCCCGTGCTGCAAAGGATCTTGGGGAAAAAACTTGTCCCTTTTTAATACCAAGACTGACTTGGACCCTCTATGCACTGCTCTTCAATCACTGGATCACCACCACGATCTCCTCTCATATTTCTGATCCCAAATCGGAAAGGTCGCAGCTTTTCTTGCTGCCCACCGTGGACTTCTGTTAATTATATTAATTAACATATTGTGCGTCTGCTGAAAGATAATTGGATGAGAAGATCTCACTCTGGGGTTGTCTCTAAGATGCCTGAGATCTGTGTGTGAGTGCGTTTTCTGGAGCGGCTTGATTGTAGCGGACACAATGGGTTTCCTTCTCACTGTTGAGAGAAGGGTTAGCAAGGGTTAATCAGATTTGTTCCTGGAGTTCTTCTTTAATAATTCAGGTATTTGGTTCGCTGGCATTTTGTGCAGTACACAGGCATGTGGAATGACGCTTATATAGTCCCGATGCCTTTCAGATTTCAGTGTCGGATCAATAGACTTTCCCAAAGCCTTGCAGTGTAGGGACCCACCTAAGCAGCCCATTCATGTTATGTCAGGCCAGGTGGCCCCTATACTAAAGATGTTGGTAGCCTTTGTTGATCTTGCAGAAGAAGTGTTCCTGTAATTGGCCGGCTTTAATTAAACCAGAGGGGTGGCTACATGCACTGGTCCGGGACAAGGGCAAGGTTGATGCATGCTGCTAAGCTTACCATGCCTTGTCCTCTGGACGAGCTCACTTTAAAGTATATCCAAAGCCTACTTATTGTTTTTACTTCTGGATAGATCCCTGTCAGCATTATGTGGCTGTCTGTGTCCTATTAGGGAGATTATCCTACACTTCCTGTATTTGAAACACAACAGGACACGAGAGGGGATCTCTCCAGAGGGAATGATGTCCCCTTTGGAAGGTGTCCTCTCATCTCCTATTATAGGACATTTTGGATTTTCCATATGTGGCCGTCTGTGCCCCATTAGGGAGATTAACTTACACTTCCTGTATTTGAAACACAACAGGAAGTAGGCGGGGATCTCTTCAGAGGGAATGATGTCCCCTTTGGAAGGTTTCCTCTCATCTCCTATTCCAGGGACATTCTGGATTTCCTATATGTGGCTCTCTGTCTCCCATTAGAGATATTTCCTTACGTTTCCTGTATTAAAAACACAACAGGACGTGGGAGGAGATCTCTCCAAAGGGAATGATGTCCCCATTGGAAGGTGTCCTTATCTCCTATTCCAGTGACATTTTGAATTTCCCACATAACATTAGTGACCAGAACAAATATATAGATCTCCCCAGCGGGGACACGAAGCAATAGCGATCCGAATGGGATCTATCTCTGCGATTATAGGAAACTATCTATAAAGATGGCTTTAGATTCAACTGCCCCATGGCATCCTGTGGAATGTCTTTGTGATGGTCCCCTTCCTGTGCTGGTTTATATGGACAGTTCTTTCTAGAAGTCCATGTGCATATTGAACGGTTGCCCCACCTTCCTCCTTCAGTCATTTTCTACACCACATTTTAAAGCTGAATGGTTCCTCCAGGAATTGTCTTCCGGCATCCTCCGTACAGTCACTCGGGCACCTCACTTTGTGAGGACCCGTCTTCTTCTCTCTCCATGGGCTTCAGCAAGTGGAGAAACACCCCATAGTAACTCCCAGCAACCGTATACGGATTCTTTTATTATAGCGCTGGTGTCTTGCTGCCGTGGGTTACCATCCACCATTGTTCTTTTGCACTCCGTCAGTCCTGTAATTCTGTCCTGCTGTAGGTCTCGACAAGGAAGATATTGATTATTACATTGCATCCTCTACTATGCACCTGTGCAGCAACCTCTATTAACCAATCAGCAGCCAGCTCCCATTGTTCTGTCAGTTGCTATGGGTTACAGTACTTTGCGCCTCCTTATTACTCAAGTCCGAAAGCTGGTTTGTCCCATTTTCAGATGACATTGCGGTTCAGGCCTCGGTTGTATATCATTGTATATACAATTGTATATCATTTATACAGGTCATTCCCACAGTGCTGGTTAAATACATTGAGGGGAATGTATCCAAACTGGAACAGCTTTGTATGGCAGCCAATCAGCTTCTGTCTTCAGTTTGTTCAGTTAAGATTTGAAAATGAAAGAGAGAAGCTGATTGGTTGCTCCAGTTTTGATAAATTCCCCTCTTTGTAGGTCACCAGTAATACCGACCGTGGGGGAATTTATCAATACTGGAGCAGACCGAATCTGGAGCTGTTGCACATGGCAACCAATCAGCTTCTCTCTTTAGTTTGTTCAGTTAAGCTTTGAAAATGAAAGATAGAAGCTGATTGGTTGCCATGGGCAACTGCTCCAGATTCTGTTCCAGTTTTGATAAATTCCCCTCTGTCTATTGCAAGCTGGAGCTCTGCCTTCTGTGCGGGTTTCTTTTCCTTGATTTGCACAGGAGGGAAGCCTACGGTAAAAAATAAAATGGCAAACGCAAAGCGGCTTTACACTGAGTTCACCGAGTTTCCGAGGGGGTATCCGGCTGATAACAGCGGGATACGGGCGTTAATACGCCCCAAAGAAGCTCATGTACTTCTTTGGGGCGTAAAGCGTTTTACCACGTGATCGAACGGGCGGTAAAACGCGCAGGTGAGAACAATGCCCATAGGCAAACATGGGTTTTCACCTGTTGCGCGTTTTACCGAGCGTAGGAACGCGCGGTAAAACGCTCAGGTGTGAACGGGGCTTTAAGGTTTGTGCGGAAGCTGGCAGGTTGAGTCACCGGCTATCTCTTGGGAACATTAAGATCTTTGCACACGAGATGCAAATTCCACCCATCTGCTGCATTTTCTCCCCCTCTGCTTGATTCTCCATTAGAGAAGATGCAGCAGGAGGAAGGAGACTTTGTAGTAGCGGACAAAACCTGGAAATGTGGCAAAGTTTCATCCCTGGAGTATCAGAGGGATACAATAAGACAGCAAGTGATTCAACTCGTCGTTTTTAATTTTAGGTGAGGCTGACCCCTTTTAAGGAACCCATTCACAGAGCATGCTGGGAGATGTAGTCCCCTGGTTGCTAGATTGGCACTATGCTCTTGCTCTGCAGATACAAGCGGGGCCTTTGCACACACTCCATTGTCTTTCTGTACACTCCGCCCAGTCACAGTAGAAATAGTGCAATAAACCTGGAGCAGCCAATCAGAATCCAACTTGTTTATTTTTTAAAGATGCATCTGAGAAATTGGGCGCAATCACCTGATTGGTTGCCATAGGCAACACTTGCGCTTTTTTTTATCGTCTGTTTAGATATTTTGTGTCGACTTTATAAAGGAAAAAAAAAAAAGTCTCCTTTGCACTTGATTTTCATAAAGTTTATAAGAAATAATAAATAGAATTAATATATTGCGAGATAATTAGGAATCTATCAATGTTTGTAGTCTGTTGTTAGCCAGTTGTGGTTACGTGGCCAAAGTCTGTATGTCTATATCCTCGTGTAAACGTCACATTCCCGGCTGTCATTTTTTGTATTATCGCGGCTGTAGATCGAGGACTTTTACCGACCTTGTAACAGAATATTCATGTAAACAGCTGAATGAATAAATATTTTCACTGCAGCAAAATCCGCTTCATCTCTGGCTTTCTTTGTTGTCATATACACGCAAATGGGAAGATGGATCCGGGTAAAAGTGGAAAAGTCTTTTAAGTCTTAGGCCTTGTTCACACCAAGCGCGTTCCAGGAGCAGAGCAGTTACAGAACGGAGCAAAACTGCGTCCAATGTATCCCAATGGTATTTTGGGCTCTAGTTAACACCGCAGTGTTCAGTTCCAGATGTAAAAAAACTGCAGCAAGCCCTATTTTACCTGCTCCGGAACGCATGCAAACGCAGTGGAACGCACCT